ACTGCATTCTCTCTCCCCCTCCCACTTTATTCAACTACCTCGCCCTTGGCCCTACCCCACCCTTTTCAAGAACTATGATTTTGCTTCTCTTAGGAATTATGCATTGTCATATTCATATAAACAACATAATCATATAAACAACAACATGGCTAATGCTTGAAAATACTGTGCTAAAATAGAAGAGATTTGCTAGGAAAAAAAATGTATATTACATGATTGTTGTTTATACAGAATGTCCAGGATAGACCAATCCTTAGATACAAGGAGTATACCGTGGATTTTTTTAAGAGCAGGAAGAGTTTGGTGGGGAGATAATATTATGACCCCTAATAGATATATGACTAATTAAATGGTATTTTCCAGGCTAAAGATACCAAGAGTTAGGCATATTTAATTATGTTCTTCAGAAGGATTATAAAAATGCTCAAAACTCTTTCCTTTGATGTTCCATATGCCCATTTAGAAAAGCCCATTCTTTATTCAGAAAGGAAAAATTCCACAACTATGAAGGAACTAGGAAGCAATTATGATGCTTTTCCAAAGCTTCTCTTTTTTGTATGTTCCACAGTACTTTAGAAATATGATAGAAGTTGACTTAGGAGAGTCTTATTCTGTAAGTAATGTAGGCAAGACTTACTAGAGGACTGGATAAGAGGAATAACGAATAAAGGGGAAGAAAAGACATTTATAAGCTCGCTCTTCAGACATCAATAACAAGGACTGTAGAGCAAGGGATGTGTAATATAATGATATGAGAAAGTCTTGAGAGAACAAGTTATTGGGTAGTAGTATAGTAGGTTTAAGATGCTAATCAGAATCTCACATGACCTCAGTAGGCAGTGGAATGCACATTCCAGTCTGGGATTTGGAGGATGCTGCCAGCTATAGATATAAATGAAGAGTTGTAGATGAGGCACTAGGTATCATCTGAGACACTTGGGATATAGCAACATTTTTTTTTAATTTTAATTTTTATTTTTTGTGAACGTACTGTACAGAGGGGTTACAATTACATGGACAAGATAATGAGTACATTTCTTATCAAGCATTGCAGCCTCCTCCTTTGTTTACCCTTCACATCCCTTCCCAGCCTCCCCTCACCACCCCACCCAATCCCCCCCCCACCCCCCCGCACCAAAGTTGTAAAGTTCATTTTCGACATGACAACTTGTACTTCTCATAGTTGCAACAGATCCACCTGTATCCTTAAACGACTTGTTTTTCCCCATCTCCTCCACAAATTATACCGACATCAAATATAGTGAAAGCAGGGGTTATACTGTGGGGGAGGGACATACAAAGCAACAATGAAATAATCTTATAAATGCGTTAGAAACAAATGCATGGAAGAAAAAAAACGTTAAAATACATATCTAATGGTTCATTTTCCTAACATCACATTATCTGACCTTTTCTGCTTGATTCATACATATACTAGATATTGCAAATAAGAGAAACCATGGGACCTATGTTTCTTTGGGCCTGGCTTACTTCACTTAATATAATTTTTTCCAAGCCTTTCCATTTCCTAACAAATGGGGAAATGTCATTCTTTCTGATGGAGGCATAGAATTCCATTGTGTATATATACCACATTTTCTTGATCCATTCATCTACTGAGGGGCATCTGAGGGTTGGTTCCATAACTTAGCTATGGTAAATAATGCTGCAATAAACATAGTTGTGCTAGTAGCTTTAGTGTGGTCTTGTTTGTAAACATTTGGGTAAATGCCCAAAAGTGGGATTGCTGGGTCATAGGGGAGCTCTATGTGAAGTTTTTTGAGGAACCTCCATACTGCTTTCCAAAGTGGTTGAACAAGTTTACACTCCCACCAACAATGAAGTAAGGTTCCCATCTGTCCACATCCCCTCCAGCATCTGTTGTTGTTAGAGTTCTTGATTATAGCCATTCTAACTGGGGTGAGGTGGTATCTCAATGTTGTTTTGATTTGCATTTCTTTTATGGCTAGGGAGGTTGAGCATTTCTTCATGTGTCTATTGGGCATCCTTCTTTCCTTTTCAGAGAAGTTTCTCTTCAAGTCTTTAGCCCACTTATGTATTGGGCAGTTGTTTCTTTGAGGATTTGTTGTTGGGTGGTTTAATTTTTTGAGTTCCAAGTATATTTTAGATATGAGACCCTTGTCCGTTGTATGGCTAGTAAAGATCTTCTCCCAATCTGTGGGCTTTCTATTGATCTTGCTAGCTATGTCCTTTGCCGTGCAGAAGCTCTGCAACTTCATGCAATCCCATTTGTCCAACCTTTCTTTGATTTGTTGTATTTCCGGGTCTCTATTCAGAAAATTTCGGCCTGAGCCAAGGAGACCTAGGGTTTCTCCTATTCCATCCTGTAGTGTTTTCAGACTGTCTGCTTTGACTCCGAGGTCTTTGATCCATTTGGAGTTGATTCTGGTGCAGGATGATATATAAGGATCTAGCTTTAGTTTTCTGCAAGTAGTTAACCAATGTTGCCAGCACCATTTACTGAAGAGGCTGTCTTTCTTCCATTCTATTATTTTAGCTCCCTTATTGAAGATTAGTTGGCTATAGGTCTGTAGGTTCATTTCTGGGTTTTCAATTGTATTCCATTGGTCCTGAGGTCTGTTCTTATGCCAGTACCAAGCTGTTTTGATTACTATGGCTTTATAGTAGAGTTTGAAATTTGGTATTGATATTCCACCAGCAGTGTTCTTTCCATTGAGGAGTGTTTTTATAGCAACATTTTTAAATGAACCGAAGGATGAGAAACCTGTGATATATGTTGTCCTGAATTTCCTCACCCAGAACTTTCTTTCTTTTTTTTTTAATCTTTTCTTTTTTTTTTATTGTGAAAATACTGTACAGAGGGGTTACAATTATATGGGCGAGATAATGAGTACATTTCTTATCAAGCATTGTAGCCTCCTCCTTTGTTTTCCCTTCCCATCCCTTCCCATCCTCCCTCCTACCCCCCCCACCCAATCCTCCCTGCTTTCCCCCCCACCCCCAGCACCAAAGTTGTAAAGTTCGTTTTCGACATAACGACTTGTACATCTCATTGTTGCAATGGGTCCACCTGTATCCCTATTTAAACGATGTGTTTTTCTCACCCAGAACTTTCTTGTGGTAGAGTTCTGTCTTATTGCCTTCATGCTTAATGGTGTTCGTCACTGGTGTTCAGTTAATGCTGGCTGAATTCATTTCAATATTAAATAGAAAGGAAGGCACCTCTGTAGTCATCTTGCAAGCCAATATTTTAATGATTCATCAGGATTTGCAAAAGCAGAATAAAGGACAACTCTACTATGTAACCCTGGATGGAAAATGTTGAATGGTCCTATGACTGCTGTAGAAAGACTCACTGCCACTACCACTTCTTCTCCCCATCCTCATGCCCTTGGGGACTCTCCAAAGGGCACAGCTACAGTTCTTGTGTAGGATGGCACACAGCCTGGGATCGTGGCACAGTCCTCAAAGCTTAAGTACAGGGCTTTAAGAAAGAAGCAGCTGCTGGAGCATATGGGTGATCAGTAGGAGCTCTCCTTAGTTCTGGACTAAAGCATCTCAAGGCACACAACTTCCAGCTATTTTGAAAGACTACATACCAAACCAAGTCTCGTCGTGGTTGGGCAATGGACATTAATGGTAATGCTTTCTTCAAGGTGCCTTCCTCATACACTTTATGCAAAAAGGTTGCTTTCCAGACTTCTGAAAGAATTACTGTGTTTCTCTTAAAGAGCCTTTATCAGACAGATGATGGAGATGAAGATGGATAGACACATAGATAGATAGATAGATAGATAGATAGATAGATAGATAGATAGATAGATAGATAGAGAGATAGAGAGATAGATAGATAGATTTTTCTTAGAACTTGCCTTTTTTATTGTGAAAATACCATACAGAGGGGTTACAATTACATGAGCAAGGTAATGAGTATATTTCTTATCAAGCATTGTTGCCTCCTCCTTTGTTTCCCCTTACCATTCCTTCCCATCTCCCCAACCTTCCACCCCCACCTTCTCCCCTGCCCCCCCTCTCTGTGCCAAAGTTGTAAAGTTTGTTTTCGACATAACATCTTGTACATCTCATTGTTGCAGTGGGTACACCTGTACTACTGTACATTTTTTACCTGTGATTTATCTGCTAAAATCTATTTAGGAGAGAAATTGTTCAACTGTTAGAAATGTGATGAAAATATTGATAACATGATGAAATACCAGCACAAATTAGCAAAGAGAAAGACCCAAACCATGGATTACTTTTGAAAAAGTGGCAAGAGAATTATTGTTTTGGGTCCTCTTGTACACTTATTATTATTGTTGTTGTTATTATTATTATTATATGAAATATATTAAATCAGAACTTCATGCATTCTACTGAAGTGTATTTTTGACTCTTCACAACACTTTTCCTTTTTTTTTTTTTTAAGTATTCTAACCCTAGAAAAGCATATGAAAGAATTCTAACTAAATGATTCAATCCAAGAACCAATTTAGAGTTACTACTCAATTCTCACCACTTAACCATCAAATTGTCCTCTGTCTCCATATATTAGATTGTGTAAAAGTAGGTGGTCTGGGCATTTGGAGGTCACCATACAGGTGACTTCCTTTTCAGCCCCATTCTTTATGGCCAGAGCATCAGTCAATCATCAGTTATTGACATGGAGGAGATAAGGATAGAAGGCCACGTATATTCTGACAAACAGAGCCTGCAGGATCAGAAAGTCCTAGGCTATGGGCAGAATTTTAAAGCAGGGCATTGAATAACTAGGTAGGTTTTGGTGAAACCAGTGCAAGTTCTCTGCAGATTATAAGGAGGTTCTAGAAACAGGAGAGCCTCAGGAGGAGGTGCCTGTAGCCACTGGGGCTCGGGGATCTGATTGGCCCTACATTAGAAAGGACTTGTCCAAACCGTCAATATCTCTTCCTCTTCCCAGGGCTTCCAGAGCAGCAGTTGAAGACGCCTTACCAAGGAGCAGCACCACGCTGTAGATGCTGAGACCTCGCACCTCAGGATAAGAAACAGTACCATGGCAGTACCCGTTTGAACGGATTAAAAACAACAGACTCCATTTAGAAAGGAAAAAAATGTCCAAGAAAGGGCGAAATAAGGGCGAGAAGCCCGAGGCACTCATTGTCGCCCTTCAAGCTGCCAATGAAGACCTCAGGACCAAGCTCACAGACATCCAGATAGAGCTGCATCAGGAGAAGTCCAAGGTGAGTGAGGGTTCCTTGCAGCCATGGCCTTGGTAGGTGCAGGCACTGGCCATGTGTCTGTACAACAAACACAGCTCTGTGCCCCACCCCATCCCAGTCAACCACCAATTGCCAGAGGCAATAACCCCTGTGTGCCCATGGAGAGAGCTAGTGTGTGGAAGGGTTGGCTGAGCAGGACTTGGACAGAAAGTAAGATGCACACTAGGCAGATCCCTGCCTTCTCCGGATGCCTGGGCAAGAATGCCTTATACAAACATTGAGACACTACCCCCCCTACCATTACCTCTAACCACAACACAGAATAGTTGTACAACCTTGACAAAGGACTACCTTAGCCTTTGGAGAATATCCCCTGTAAGGTTCAGAGCAATTCCTCAAGAGTACACCGCATCTTCTCTTTCCACTCCTCACATCCATTGACTTCCTACTTCCCTCTCAGTCAAAGGAATCTACCACCCCTATATGATACAACTTCCTGTTCCTTCTTTTATTTGTTTCTTATTTTGGGGGGGGAGGGGACCGAACTTGATTGGAGCTTGAACTTGATCTAGGTGCTTTTCTGCTCAAGGCTGGTATTCCACCACTTGAGCCACATCTCCAGTCCAGCGTTTTGCTGATTTGTCAGAGTCTCACAGACTTTCCTGCCCAGGCTTGCTTCGAACCATGATCTTCAGATCTCAACCTTTTAAGTACAGGTGTGAGCCACTGGTGTCTGGTTCCATTCCCCTCTGGAGCTCATCACATAACATCTTTTCTTGATCATGCTGCTACTGGCTTTTTGCTGGATCAAAAGTAGTATGCTAATTACATTCTGGAGTTGTCCTTGTTTTCCCCTAACTCACCATTTGCTCCTTCCTTCCAGGGGCTGCTTCTAAGCATCATTCAACTAACCTTGGTCTCTAAAACATACCAAAACATACCACTTCCCTAGTATCCAATTATCCTCACACTCTATCCTCAATTTGTATTACAAAAATGTCTACATTTATTTGTTCAGGGTTTATCATTCTTACTCAGTATAGTCTCTTTGAAGCTTGGAACTAACTTAGCTTATTTCATATCTCTATAGTCCAAATAATGCCCAGAGCTTAAAGATGAATGTACATTTGTTGAATAAATGGAAAAATGACTGGAAAGTGTCGTATTTGTTATAGTTTATTTTCAGCATCATTAAAATACTGCTACTATCCCTTGGGAGTGTAAAGAAATATAATTACATAAACACACAAAGTACATACACGGCATAAATAAGAACATTGATAAGTGCTCAGAGAGCTGCCATGCGAATCCTAAACTTTCCAATAATTGTGAATATTTATTTCTATTCCTTGTAAAGTTCTCTAAATTTGACTCCGTTGCTAAATCTCATCTGTTTAAGGGATATTCTTGCATAAATCTCAGCATGACAGGGTAAGCATTGAGTAACTCACTGAAGAAAAGTATTTTGAAATATCCAAAAAATGTAAGACTTTTTTTTTGCCTGTACAAGGGCTTGAACTCAGGGCCTGGACACTGTCCCTTAGCTTTTTGCTCAACAGAGGCTCTACCACTTGAGTCACAGTTCTACTTCCATATTTCTGGTGGTTAGTTGGAGATAAGAGTCTCATGGACATTCCTTCCCAGTCAGCTTTGAACTGCAATCCTCAGATTTCATCCTTATGAATAGCTAGGATCACTGTCATGAACCACTGGTGCCTAGCACTGGTGCCTGGTACATAAAACATTGTTCTTGGAGAAGGATTGGGATTGGGGGGGAGGGGGGAGGCTGGGAAGGGAGGTGAAGGGTAAACAAAGGAGGAGGCTGCAATGCTTGGTAAGAAATGTATGCATTATCCTGCCCATGTAATTGTAACCCCTCTGTACAGTATGTTCACAAATAAAATTAAATTAAATTAAAAAAAAAAACATTGTTCTTCTCTAAAATGAGAAAATCATGTCAGCCTAAGAGTTCCTCTTGATCATCAAGCAGTACATCACACCAACAAATATCCTTATTCCATTTTGTCTTCTTTTTCCTTAACACAACTATTAATTTGTGGTTCCCCCCCCCAAAAAATCTACCTGTCCCCATTCAGCAATAATAATAGTGTCAGGGATAGGTCAGGTAGTAGGGCACCTGCTAATGAGCCAAAACATCAAATGTCTAGCTCAAGTCTGATCGCCAACCAAAATAATAATAATAATAATAATAATAATAAATGGTGTCTACCTGTCCAAAGTCTATTGCTTCCCATTTCAGCTAAGCCTTGGCCTTAGACAAATAAACCCCACTGTAAATTTTATGAAGAAAGTGCTCTACTTTCCATGGAGCAAAAAGTAACACGATCTCTTTAAAAAAAAAAAAAAACCTGCATTAGTTTGTGAGTAGGAAGTTTTAGGCATTTTTTTCTCTCTCCTTGGAGACCAGTTTGAATGTCACAGTGTCTCTAACTGTAATGCAGATGATGGAATCTGTTCTTCCACCGTGTGTCTCTAAGTACTGCCATGCATCTGAATAACCTGGGACTTAGGGGAGGGTGGCATTCCTGAGTCCACCTGCCTTGGAGCTGCTGCTAGAATGGGCAGGGGCAGGAGCAGGACTTGGGGTTCTGGCAGATGTAGGTGGAGGGTTATTCCCAGCTCTGGGGTTCACAAATACTCCCAGAGGAAGATTCCCTCCAGTTCTTACCACATCATCTCATTGGTTTGAGCTTTCCCAGAGACAATGATGTGCTTGAAGGAAGCCCGAGTCGTCTAATTTTAGTAGAGGCAGATTGACAAATGACAAGCAGAGGAGTCAGATTGTCCACGTGGAGACTGGAAACCCTAATGCGCTGCTGTTGGACAGAAAACAAAATCATGAGATTTTTAGAGGAGCAAGGGCCCTGCAGACCCCACTGTGCCAATTTCCCACACATTCCAGCCTTTTTTCAAACGGGTAACCCTTAAGCTTCCCCAAGGCTGCTTGTCTCTCTGGGACCTGATACTAGGCCTGCAGGCAGGTGTCATTGTCTCTTCCCCTGACAAGACTCTGACTCAAGCCTCTCATATATGAACACAGCCTTATCCTTACTTCTCCTGCTCCCTCTGTCTCTCTTCCTTTCAGAGGCAGTTAATTACAATCCCAGCCCAGGAGCTAGAGCAAAGCCCAGCTGCCTGTCTGCCGCGGTCCCCAAAGAGCAAAGGGAATCTAGAGGGCAAACAAGTCATAAAGCCGTTTCATTATGAATAAATATGATTGCGTTTCTACCGGGCCAGGCTCTCGGAGAGAATAGGATCATTGCCAAGATAGGAATTTACACTTTCAGTTTGGCTCTGAGGCGCTGATGACAAAATGACAATTCCACCACTGGGAACAGACTAAAGAGTCGGAGACCTTTAGAGCGACGGGCCATTACTCATTTTTCCAGTCAGATAAATAATCTTGTTGATATTTACAGAATGTGCAGCATGCACAGAACAGAGCCAGAAGTGATTTAGTTGATCATATAAGCAGCAACTACTGACTGAATGTTTAATATCTGTCACACACTCCTAACAAGTCCACATCTGGTCATAATCTCAGCTCACACACTCAGCACACTCTGAGTATCCCTGCTCAAATTCTGAAGCCACTCAATTTTCCTGTCCTCGTCTTTCAAGTAGGATTCTAGTGTATCTATTTGTAAGATTGAGGGGGAAGATTTTTATTGTTAAGTGCCTTAATATGGTCATCTTGCTTGACCCTGTTTACTACCCTCCCAGATGGGCTTAGCTGCTATTTCCATTTTACAGATGAAGCAACCACCTGGTGTATAGGAAAGGCTCCAAATGACTGAACTAATGAACTGACTTGATTTAAAGGAAAAAAAGAAGGATTTTCTGACATCTCTGAAGCATCAGTATTGTCAAGATACTTATTTATGAGAGAAACCTTATGTTTGGGTGAAGAAAGGATGCCTACCTAGATCTACCTTTTCCTGGAACCAGCACTAGGAGCCATTAACTTACAGTGTTTTTCTGTTTGCCTTAATTGTGGACATGGTGAAGCTGTGATCCAATATCCTGTGTGTAGGAAGACACAGGGCTTGCTGTGAGATGTGACATTCATCCACTGCATTCCCCCATAGCTCTGTACTTGCCCCTAGTGATGGTTCCAGTGGCAGTGAGCAATGTGGCACAGTAATGGAGTGGGAGGAGATAACTAGATTCCTGGGGTAGAGGCTTCAGGAAGCAGGCCTAGATTTCAGGGCCTAGATTTCAGGTGGAGGATGGGACACGGAGTATTGAAGCAGCCCTTCAGAATACAGAGCACCTTGACACAGAGCTTTACAACCGAGGCTGTGTGTGGATCTCAAACTTTTCATCTAATTGGTTCCCAGCAAGAGTAAGCAGAGGAGCCAGAATAGACTCTTCTTGTAGAGAGTGGAGATCAAGACAGTTCTGCTCTTCCTATGGTACCCAGGGCCCTCTCCAAAAACCAGCCTTCTTGGTTACATTTACAAAGCTTCTGAGTTGGAGGCCTAGATTTGGAATGAGGAATTTCTTGCTATCTGCACCTTTACTTAAACTTTCAGGAAGAATAATTTGCTGAAAGCAAGAAATCCACCAAAACTCTTTGTGTTCTACCAGGTTGCTTAAGGCTTCTCATAAGCAACCTTCTGGCCATGGCAGGTTTTCCCTTCTCTTCCTCTCTTCTGCTTAACATCTCTTTGGCACCCATGAAAATGCTCAGGAGCTTCTTGTGGATTTACTTTCCAGGAACATTTAATACAGATAATCCAAGCCAAAGTGTGGTTAGCTTGCCTTGCCCTGATAGCCTCTCAGCCTCTTCTTACCTTTGACTCAGCTCAGTTTTTTTTTTTGGGAGGGAGTCCGGTTGTGGGGTCTGAACTCTGGACCTGGGCACTGTCCCTCAGCTCTTCAGCTCAAGGCTAGCGCTCCACCACTTGAGCCACAGTGCCACTTCCGGCTTTTTTCTTTTTGCGTATGTGGTGCTGAGGAATCGGACCCAGGGCCTCATGCATGCAAGGCAAGTGCTC